GTATATGTTGTGGAATGTTCTCTCTAATACATAAATCTATTCATGTCAATCTTTGCTTAATATTCTTCAGGGATTCTGTTGCTTTCAGAATAGAATCCAGACTCCTTATCACATTCACATTTCCAACATCCAGACCCTGTTGAACTTTCTCCCTTTCTACCTTTTTATCTTTCTACTTGTGTGTATTTGCCTTCCTGCTTCGTTCAACACCACACACACACACACACACACACACACACACACACACACACTGCATAACAAATATTTTAAATTCTTCAAATGTATCAGGCCATTTACTTTCTTCTTTGCATCTGCATGTTTTTCTGCTTGTAATACTTTTTTGTTTCTTTACTTCCTCTAGTTCCTTCTCACCTCTCAAAAAGTAAGTCTTGTAATGATCAGTTTCCCAGCCCTGTGTTGCCTGTCTCATCGTGTCTTTTATTTATGTTATCACCGGTATCTCATAAAGAGCCTGGCACATACAAATTGCTCGATAAATGTTTACTAATTGAATGACCAAATGAAAGAATGAATAAATGAAAGGGATGAGGAAGGTAAAGATGAAGTGAGGGCTTGTTTTGTTTTGTTTCAGTTAAAGAAGAGGATTCTCAGTGAGCTAATTTTTTAAAAATTTTATTGAGAGAAAGCAAGGCCATTTCCCAAGAGTAAGAGCACATTTAGACATTTTTGGAGGATTTTTAGAAAGCAAGGTTATCACAACTACTGTATCAATTGTTACTAGATCACTTTGTCTCATCTACCCCTCTAGTGGGTATTACTGGCAATTTTGTGGTCATCAAACTGTGGACAGTGCTTTCACCGTCTCTGCCACCACAGACCTGGGAGCTCCTGCTCACAGTACTGATTGCAAAGGAGGGACCCCCTTATCTTTGCACTGGCAGGACCACACCCACCCAGGCCCTCGCTTCCCCAGTGGCTGCCCTGACAATCCAGGTTACACAATGTATAAGTAGCATGAGATAGACTCCAACAAATAAAAGGCAGAAGAAGAGATGAGGAGAAATTGCTTGCTCTTTCTGCACCTTTCCACCTATACCTGTTCCAAGATGCAGTAGGTTAAAGAAAGCCCCTCTGGATATGACTCCCAATAATGCAGACACTTGTGTTTTTTCTCCCTCTTTCTCCTTTTCCTTCCCTACTTTTGTGTCTCTGGGATTGCATTTTCCAATAAAGTGTTAGCATGTGTGTATTTGCCTCAGGTTCTGTTTCTAGAAAACGTGGGCTAAACAAGCAATTTTTAAGAAATTTTCCAATGTTAAATATATTACTATTAGAAACACAAACAAAATTAATTAGAGCATTTTTAATGAAAACAGTCACTCATTTGCACTGGGCTGTGTTGGGATCCCAGAAAGAGCAGAAGTTGTATAGAATAGTTACTGAAGGAGAAGGGAGAGTCAAGAAGACATGGAAAATGAACAGTCAAGCAATAGTCAGAAAAAATAGTAGCTCTCATTGTGGGGCCTTCAACAGGAGATAATCAGAAACACATGGCTATGGTGAGTATAAATGTAATCCCCAAATGGAAAAGTTTCCATTAAAAGAGCATATACTACAGAGATTTTCTTCCATTCGATCTGTGTATAATTTAATGTGCTTCCAGTGTTATGAAATGTTAAATTGTTAGATTCCATGAGAATAGACAAATCTACTAAGTGACCTACTTCAGTAAAGACAACACAACTATGTTTATATATTAAATAGAAATAATTTTAAGACTCAGCATATTATCAGACAATATTCAAACAACTAATGTTGGGAGAAAACCCAGAAGAAATGACAAAAGTACATCTGCTTAGCAAGGCCCTTTGGAATGTTCAAATGGAAAAAAGAATTAAAATTTGGCAAGAAAGAAGGAGAGTACTTCCTCACTATGGAAAGTTGGCATATACTATACCATGATCTCAATCCATATTGAAAACAGCTTTAGACATTGAAACGGATCCCGATTGTAAAGGTGTATAGGGCAAAGTTACCCACCTTCAAATATTTGCTACTACAGAACCCTGTTACAAGGCTGACAAAGTATAAAGGACCTTCTCACAGAAACAACTGCAACAACAACAACAACAAAAACTGGAAGTACTTAATGCTTATTCATCAATGAACAAAAACTCTGATCCAAGAAATATTCTGTGGGTATATTTTGGTTTCTGAATGTTTATCCCTGCAGACACTACAAAATTCATTGAAACACTTGTTTTAATATCCTCAGTTGAAGTCTTAAATTAAGATTTTTTTTCATTTTAGGTTTATAAATCTCGATCCAATTTACACATCCTGAAGGGACAGTTAGTTTAACATGTAAACATACTGGTTGTTAAGCATTTTTAGTGGTTTTTAGCATGTTCTTAGTTGTGAATAGCTGACAGAAATCAATGATTTTTTACTCTAGCGATCTGTACATATGCATACATAAAATATTCTGCATAAAATTTCTGGAGTTTATAAACATTTTCTACATTCAGATACATTCTAGAATCCACGAGCCACAGGATTCATGTCTTAACTAAAAAACGCTTAACTCAAAGATGAAAGGATTCAATTAAAAAAAAGCCCTAGTAATACAAATATTTTGTTTTTTCAATAAAAGCAATAACAAAATCCAAAATTTATAGGTAGAAACAATGCTACTTCTATAAAATGCCTGACAGCTAATTCTAGGTCTTTAGGAAAACCTATATATAATAGCATCTCCTCAGTTATTTTTTAAATGAACTTCATACGTAGTTTTGTGGAGAATGATCTATGTAGTGATCCCAAAGACATTTCTTTCTTCATTTTAGCTATCTGAAATGACTATCTAATCATTTAAAACTAGATTATTATTTGATTTCTTTTAGAACATATATTACAAGTAGAATGAATTTGTATCTGGTTTAACTAACAATGTATATGATTCTTTCTAGATTTCTTCATATCTCAAATAAAAATTGGCTCTAAACCAAAGGCTGACACAGATTAAAAATGGAGGTGCAGAGCTAATGTTTGGAAATTCAGTTTTCATATCCACTGGGATACTGAACTATAATTGTGAATTTAAAATCTTGTGTATGATTAAAATATAAAAGACTGTGAATCATTTGGAAACCCAAATCATCATGTGTTTGGCACTTTGGTGAAGAAAATTCTAGAGTGAATGTTTTATACCAGCAGCCAATAAGTTTCAGATGGCTTGCAAGTTAGCAGGAGAACTAACTTCCATTTAAAGTTGAAATGGAATTTTCTGTGACAGTCCACAAATAGCAGTTAACATATGCCTAAATTACAAAAAAAGCAGGAATCACAGAGTCAAGGAAAGGAGTAAAAAGGGCTGCAAGTTAGTGAATGAAACCTTTTTATCCAAAATTCTTAGCAAAAATTGTAGTCACCTAAGAGTAAAACTATCTCAACTATTTTTGAATAAATTTTATTTATCAATATTAGAAACTAAGAAGTGACTTTCAAAGTAAGTCATAGTTTACATCTATCATAAATTTGATGTCTTCATAAGAAAAATGGAAATAAAAGTTAATGTTAGTATAAATGAACAAAAAATACACATTTTTCAATTATTTTATAGCATGTAAAAATTGATTCACACTTTAAGTTTCATCTAAAAGTGCTTCTAATTATATTATCTGCTATTCTTTGCTGTAAGATATTTTTTGGTCAAGATGTTCCTTAACATTATGGATAATGAATGAAGTCACTCGCTTAAAAGCTTCCAAATTTTCTTCATTTTAATCTAAAATTATTTTGTATTTCAATAAGTTCTTATAGTTGTGGTTTCACAAATTATTATGAGAGCTTTGAATTCACTTTGACTTAGAGCATCAGTCCTGCAACAGGAACCAAGCGGCTTGATAACTATTCCTCTGGGGCTGCATCTTGTCCTAATGCTAACCATGTGGCCTGTCTGAACAACTTTGAGTGTCAGTCACCTTATCTGTAAAATGATGACAATGATACCCACTGTACCTATCTCACAGGGTCTAGGCCTCAAATTAAATAAATAAAAGACTTTTTTAAAACAAGTGGCGCTGGAGGTGTTGTTAATAATGGTAGCAGTAGTGCTGGTACTCAAGAGGAAATTCTGCTTCAAACAATAACCAGGATCATTAGATGTACCTAGCTCTATTGTAGATATAGAGTACTACTTATAAATTCCTAAATTATCTTGCTATGATACTACTCGCTGTAGCATAAAATTCAGTAGCTTTTCCACCATGATTTTTTGTGTGTAGTTTTCTTTTTCTTTTTTACACTGGACTGTAGTTTTACTGATAGACATGAACAGAGCGGGTATATTAAAACAGAAATTCTGTGAGTTGTTTTGTATTTTTTTTCAACACTTGACAAGTAAGATTCGTGGTTTACCAGAATAGTATAAATATAAAATAATCTCTATTTCCCTAACTCTATAACCAATAAAATGTAGTATGTCAATTGTTCTGAAGAAACTTATGCTTTTCTTTTAAATGCTTTAGAAATACATATATTGCTTCAGAAATGTGTTCACCAATTAAGAATTGATTTAGCTAATTATAAAATGGAATTTTGGAATACCTTTTAGTCTGTAATGGTCTGGATACTCCTACAGACCACCTTGAGGAAAGAGACACTCAGAGTTTATCAAACTTTTGAAACTTTGATTTATGCTTCTGACTTGTAAATCTTCAAATCTCTTAGAATCCTAACACTTTAGAAAGAATTTGCATCATTCCCCCTTCCTCTAAATCGTCTATTTCATTCTGCTGAAATGAAGTGAAATTCTAAGAGCGAAAATACTGCCCAGAAATTTCTGGAAGTAAATATAAGAAGTTGAAGCTTATGTAATGTGTTTCCCTGTCATCAGGTCACTCTCTAGGCTGTTTATACTCTGGATCCCTTTCAGACCTCATGGAAGTTAATTTTAGTTTTGCAGAAAGGACAGAGAGGCAAGATTGCTGCCTTGGCAGAAACTGTCTCCGTTAAGCTTATGACAGGGAGAGTCTTACCTTTCTGATTTCCTGTGCATCACCAGAGAGAAGGAAGCACTGTTTGTCCTGCGAGAATTCTGTCTTGCATCTGCTGGCCTGGGTTTCAGTGGACGTGCGTGGGGCAGCGCCAGGGACAGCGGCTGCGAGCTTCCTTGTCCCCCGGAGGGTGAGGGACTGGTAGAAGAGACAGATTGCCACAGCCAAGCCCACCAAGAAGGGTCGGGGGCAAAACCGCCGACGACAAGGGAGCACTGGGCGACAGACCATGACCAGTTCAGCTTCACTTGGCCCCTGTCCACTTTGCGGGAAAAGTCATAGCAGCTATTTTTTGTCAGCATGAAAAAACACAAATCTGTCCTCTTTTTCCACAACTCCAATCAAGTTTGCTCCATCTCTGCTTACGAACTTTCCGAAGGGTCATGCCAAAGAATCACAGGTCCCAGAAGTCTGAGGTGGTTAATGAGAGCCCTTCCATGGATGACAGTAAAAAGTAGCTGACCAGGGTTAAAAAAAAAAAGACATCAAAATAATAATAGCCGTAACAAATAACCTGAGTGTTGCTGCCAAACCGTTGCTTCCGGCAATGCCTTATTTTCACAACATCCTTCAACTCACAGCAAAGGAGCCCGACTCTGCCTCAGCTTCACAGGAAGAGAGAAAACAACACCAAAGTAAATCTGGAGTCTGAAAACAGCCTCGAAGAACGCAGTAGGTTAAAACCCAAAGTGCCTGTTGCACAGCTGGGCGCAGGCCAGGTTGCCTTAGCAGTTCCTCATTTTTCCTCCGGGTTTTAAAGCAGTCCTGCTTTCAGCCTTTTGTGAGCTGCCCTTCATTCAGCTTTACATTCCCACTTTCCTGTAGGCACTCACGGCTTTTATCATAAAAAGGGAATAAGCTGCTTGGATGGACATGGTGACTGTCAGGGTTCTGCTTGCATTTGTTTCACTCCGTTTCAAGTTCAAAGTTCTGTGTACTTACTCAGTTTTCATCCTTTTAGTCAGAAAAGAAAAAAAAAAAGTTTCCATGATCCACTAATGGATTGCTGATCAAAACCACTCGGAAGGAAACACCCAGTCGGATGACTCCAATTCATCTCTCTCTCTCTCTCTCTCTCACACACACACACACACACACGCGCACGCGCGCGCGCACACACACACGCACCGACCCACACGCGCCCCGGCTGCGCGCCCGGCGGAGCTGCCACCCGGGCGGCCGAGCGGGGCGGGGCTAAGGCGCTGGCTGGTCCGGCCCTGAGGGGGCAGCCGGAGCCGCTATGGGCGGGAAGCGGGGGGCTTCCCCAGACGGCACACAGCACCCAGCACCCAGCATTACCCCGCTGAAATGAGGCTGCCTACCCAGAGCTGCAGAATTTAGAAACATGTTCGATCCTCTATGAATTGTTTTTTTGTTTGTTTGGTTGGTTTTTTTTTCCTGACACAGAAGTTGAAAAACAAATAGCCCTTAGTCAACTGATGCGAAAGGTCGGGGGTGAGAGGAAGACCAGCCAAGTCCATGAGTGAATGGGGAGGCTCTTCACTCGAGGGAATTGTGGTTACTCTTCTGAGGAGAAGAGGGTCACCCGCCGAGCACTGTCTGGACCTCAGACAGCAAGCGCCAGAGTAACTCAGCGTCGTCCCACGTCTCTGTGCTCTGGTACCGAACTCGCATCACAATCGTCACTACTCCTTTCCTGGGGTACGAGCTGGGTCTTTCAGTGGCTGATTGCCTGACGTTTTGCTCCTAAAATGAGTTGGCTGTGGCATGTCATGGGAGTAACGTTTGCCCCAGCTCGGTCTGACTCTGCACAGACCGTCACGAGGGCACCGCCAGCAGCGCAGTCCTCGGGCTGCCTCAGCTCGGGGAAAACGCCGAGGAGAGAGGAGATCTGGTGCACGTTGCTCCCTCTCCCAGCCCTTGCTTCGCAAGCTCTGCACACCCAGGACTGGCTTAGGTTCGTAGCAGGCATTGTTTAAAGGCTGTGGACTTGAACAGGTTTTCGAACCTGTTTCTTACCCAAGCTCGCTCTCGAGGGCTGAGGTTCTCAGTGAGGCCGCATCTCAGAGCAAGCCCATCCCATAGGCAGGCTGCCGGCCGCCGCTTACATTTTGTGAGACGGAGCGCCCCCTAGGGGAGGCCCGGTCACTGCGGATTCAGAGAAAGGGGTTCCTCGTTTGCTAGGAACTGCTATAAACACTTTATAAAACATTAATTAACACATTACAGAAGAAATATTCACACTGAAGCTGGGTTTATCCCATGTCCTTGCATGTATTCCCCCCAATGGATTTAACATTATTTGATTTATAGATCCGGAGTCTTCAATACCATGACAAATGAAGGAGTAGAGAAATAAACTAACATTTGACTTTTAAAGGCCAAGAGAGTTTTAAGAGAAAATGGCTAAACAGTAGTGTTGTAGGACACATAGTTTTGGTGACTGCGATGTGAATTGAGAGATAATAGGAATTACGACAATTCTAAGCTAGAATCCAGGGTGTGACAAAGCTATTACTCAGTTATAAGGAACAGATAGGCAGTTCTAGTAAGATCTATCAAGGCAGGAAGTCTGGAAACCTGAGAGTTTGAGGTATGTGACGGGTCATTTGTATGCACCATTAAATTGTTGAGAACAGGGTACAGACGAAAGAGTAAATCAGGTGCTAAAATAAAATTCTCTTTGGGTTGGGAGAAGTGAAAGACAACAGCATGGAAAATTTTAAGAAAGATATTATATCTGGACTTCAAAGAATAGGAATCAGGAAGAAAGTGGAAAATCAGTGTTCTGGAAATAATTCTGGTGAATTGAAAAACCTAATTCCCCATTTTAACCACTGAGTCTGAGACAGTAGGAGACAGATAAAGGGATACCAGCAGGAGGGAGAAAAGGGTTAGAGTGAGAAGGTGCAAAGAAGAGGTGGAAAAGAAGATATAGCAGGAATTATCACCAAATAGACTAAGAGGATCCACAGATAACATCCAATTTTAGAGTAAACCCAATCTGGATAAGAATCATGGCACTGCCTCTTTTCAGCTCTTCTTAAACAAGTGGTTTGACTTAATTTAAGTCTAGGCTTTCCTCATTTGTGAAATAAGGATACTAATGTCTCCATTGAAATGTTGTTGGCACAACTAGATGAGAGAATGTATAGAAAGCATTCTGTGAACATTTGTCAGATAAATGTATGTTGAATGCATGTCTGCTAAGGTTTGGATCCTGAGGCTGTACTGAGTCCTCACTGAGCTTATGGTATGGTGTGGCATCAGATACATGAAAAGATAATTACCAAATATGGTCCTTTTAGAACATATAAACACCACAAGCAAACCCAAGCACTTATTAGTTCTCTTCCTTTTATCTTTGAGATAGATGTGCACTCACTCACCAGCACATGATGGTTTGAGAAGATGAGGTCGAGGGCGGCATGAAAGTAGCATGTGGAGACTACATATGGGAGGTATTTATGCCTGAGCAGTAGGTTAGACATATTTGAGTGGAATAACAGAGTCTGAAGGAGTCAGAACAGGGAATGATGAAGACAGAGAATATCGGTTCAGTGAGGGAAGTGGGAGGGTTAATATTCAGCAGAACTATGAACCTGTGGATTCTGGCAGTGTTTCAGATGGAATACTTCTATGCATCTAGTTTCAGAAAGTGCTCTTTCCACTAACTAATTTCAGCATTCTAGGGCCTGTATTTAAGTCTTATTAACCAAGGACACTAGAGTGACAGGTCTTTCAGAATCCTATAATATCAAGTTTGAACAAAACAGGACAATTTTCCTCTCCAACACAAAATATACTTTCCCTTGACACATGTTTCATTTGGTCTTTAGTACAGAGCTGGGGGTAGAAGAAGAGGATGTACTCTAATAATATTCATTTGAAGAAGGTATTTTTTTTTTAAATTTATTTTTTAAACTAGGGGAATAAAGGTATCTATGACAGAGAAGTGTTGGATCAGGAACTTTGGGAAAATAATATACCTCTCTGAATCTCTGTTCTCTCATTAAAATAGGGGCCTTAGGCCGGGCATGGTGGCTCATACCTGTAATCCTAGCACTTTCAGAGGCTGAGGCGGGAGGATTGCTTGAGGCCAGCAGTTCAAGACCAGCCTGAGCAAGAACGAGACTCATGTGTACAAAAAATAAAAGATTAGTTGGGCATGGTGGTGTGTGCCTAAAGTCCCAACTACTCCAGGGGATGAGGCAAGAGGATTGCTTGAGCCCAAAGGCTGGAGGTTGCAATGAGCTATGATGACACCACTGCACTTTAGCCCAGAAGACAGAATGAGACCCTGTCTCAAAAAGGGGGAGGGGGGGCTTCAGTGATTGACAGATGACCCCCCCCAAAGGTCACCTGAGACTACAAAAAGTTAAGCTTTCTGGGGATACATTTTGACACAAATTTCCTCTCTGTTTCAATCTTCAGATTCTGGGCCTTCTTTAGAAAGACCGACTGCCCTCTTCTCAGCTCCTACCACCTTTTATACTAGTGCTGACTATAGAACTTTCCCCATATGCTCTAAACCTAAAATGTTGTTTTTAAATTCTGAATGATATATTCAATCTCTACTATGCATAAACATCATCCTAGGCACTGTGAAAACAGAAGACACAGGACACATACTGTACATGACTAAAATATAAATAACACACTGGCCATACTGACGAATTGGACAGAGCAGGATAACTGTTTTAACAAGCAACCTTAAAATTTCATTGGCTTGATACAATAAAAGCTCATTTCTCATTCATATCATTTCTGTTTGTCAGTTTCTAATTTGGTACCTAGAGTCCTTCTACCTGGTGACTTTCCATAGCCCAGAATCTTGGACACTCAGTGGGATCCTCTGAATCTCATTAGCAGACAAGCAATGAGAAAGCGCATGGCAGATCGATTGTTTGAAGGTCTTTTAGGGGCCAAACTTCAAACTGGCCTATCTCCTTTGTCCTACATTCTTCTATTGGCCAGAGCCCAGTCACATGGACCCATCTAAAGAAACTGAGTTGGGAAATGAGGTCTAGCTACAGGCCCAGGAGGAAAAGGAAACAGGCTAATATTAATATATAGTAGTCTCAGTCACAGCTAAGATGGAGACACACCAAGTACCGGGGAGAATCAAAATAGGGAGTTCACATCATTTGGGTGGTGATAAGAAAAATGGATACTTCTCAACTGGGCCCTGAATAATCATGAAGATTTCAACTGCTGCAAAAGGAAAAATATACATTTTATGTCTTAGTAGAAAACCACTAAGACAGCTGAAAAAGAGGGTTAGGTACAGATCAAGTATGGCTATCATTTCCAAGTTTAACAGTTTATTTACATAGTAGGAATTCAAAATTTTCTTTCCCAGATTAATGAAGATACCATGATAGCTATCAGGGTAGTATGACCATTATCTGCAATTATCTGAAAATATTATTATATTACCATTAGCTTTAATTGTAAGCTCAAAAAGCAAAATCTCCATTGCTTTTTAGGTGGCATAAGGACAACATGGGTCAAGCTCATGTGGTTATTCTTGGCAGTGCAAAATATATATAAGATTTAATAAAAACATTTTTGTGAAATGTCAGATTCCCACCTTAAAGCCCTTACTGTCCCTTGGGAGGCAAATGTACTCAGGTAAAGTATATGCAAATACAACTGATCATGTATTATCCCCCAGTTATGTAAACACAGATTTATATCAGGTTTAGGATCATGCATCCTTTCACTTGTATTTAAAAATTTACATCTGCCACTCATTACAATGGCATGCCCAAATCTTAGCCTATGATTAGGCTTAGATATGTTGTTCTTGATATGCTGGAGAATAGTCAACAGAAATCCTAAAACAGTTCTGCAATTTTTCTGCAGTTTCTAATGCAGTCAACATGTAAATTTAATTTCCTTTCGACTCAACTTGCTTCTCTCTACATCACCTAAGTGGAGTCACTTTTTGCACAAACTATGGACCTCAATTTAAGACCCCTGAACCTTTTATGAAGCTTTCTATGCATAAAAAAAGAAAGCCAAAAACAAAACCAACGAAGATTTCCCTCTTCCTTTCCAGTGGTTTATTCTAAAACCACTCTAGGCTGCTAGATGGTGAGAGCAGGATTGTAACACAGGTCTGGGAATCTTGTCAAAGGGTCAAAGGAATAGCGTGCAGGACTCTCTCACACAGCATTTGTCCAGTTTACACATAGAAGTAAAATGTCTCAGTGAAAATCCTTCATTTTTCCACAACCCTTTTCTTACTCTGTTTAAACATACCCATCCAATAATCTCTTTCAGCTTCTAGATGAACAGTCCAGGTAGATGAAATCCTTTAAACCTAATGCTTTTAATCTAAGATTGCCCATTGGACCTGTGTTTCTGAGCAATGCCAGCACATGCCAACATTTGGTGCTACCTTTTTATTTTTTCTGCTTCATATTATTATTTTTTTTAATTTCAGCATTTTACAGGGGTACAAATATTTAGGTTACATATACTGTCTTTGCCCCACCCAAGTTGCAGCCTTTTTAAATTGGGACATACACACTTTCGGCTCCGAGTCCCCCGGTTTTCAACTGTTCGCTTTACTTATTTTTCAGAACTTACTCCCTTTATAGGCATTTTGAATTTGTTTACACCAGTACCAAAAGTACTTTCATCACATTTGTGCTGTATTTCAGTTACGAGTGAACTTATATCTCTTTACCATATAAACTGCTTTATGATGGAAGAATGTCCTCCTCTCCATACCCTTGCAGCATGTGGCAACCTTCTTAGCAACTGACTGTTTTAAAACTTCGTATTTGTAGAAGTGTACGCATCATAGATTCAAATACTTTCCATTATTATTCTGATTTTTTATACAAGATTTCACATGCTGGCAACATTTAACCCACTAGAGGCAGGTCTGTCACCCAGAAGACATTTGTCAATGCCTAGAGATATTTTTGGTTGTCACAATTGGCAGGGGGTGGGGAAGGGTGGCAGAGATGCTACTGACCTCTAGTTTGTAGAGGCCAGTGGTGCTGCTACACATATGCCCCAGTATACAGACGGCCTCCACAACAATCATCTGACACAAAATGTCAAAAGTGCTGAGATTGGGAAACTCAAACTTAACCAAAGAGATAGTTGTTGCACAATTTTTACCTATGGCTGCCTAAGATTCATCTGTTACTTAAATCAGAATAGTGAGTACCTCAGCAGCTTGTGGTCATATATGATTGATTAGCTTCCTTGGAATTTTAATCACTTCCTGAATATGTAATTATACTGCCCCCAAACTCTACTTTGGATATATAATTCCTTTTAAGCCTCTCAAATTTGTCTTTGAAATTCACATTCTCTAAAAGAATATATTTACATATATGTAGATATATCTATCCATATACATTTTAAAAAATAGAGAAATACTTCAATCAGCACACAAGTAGAATGGTAAACATTTAATTCGATGAATTAAACTTTTTTTTAACTTTCTTTAGGACACAAGTTTATACTTTGGCAGGGATCCAGTATTCTTAAATTTTTATCAAATAATATTTTAGAAATGAACAAATTAGCTTTCATTTGTTATATGACAGTATCAAACTATGCTCTCAATTAGAAATCTTATTTTTCTTCTCTGAAGACCTGCAATATAAAATTCTTTGGAAATCACTTACATTTTTTAAAATGTCTTAAGATAGCCACATAAGTTATCTGTTTTTCTTTCTCTTTCTTTCTTCTTCTTGCTTCTTTGTTTTTAATGTAACCAAAAGTCAAACATTCATTTTCAGAAAATAAAAGGTATTTTGAAATGTTTATAGCATCATTTGTCACCCAAAAGTTGATGTATGTGATGGGGATGAGGGGGGTAGGTTTTGTCTCATCACTCCAGTGAATGCTGGCATTCATTTAGCTATTCTGGATGGATAAGAAGGAAACATTCTTCAACTGAGTATGGCTCTTTGATCACATGTCTATCACATAAAGTCAAAAGGTTACCTCTGTATCTAATCTAAACCATATGATCTCTAACAATATATAAGCTTAATTTTTTATTTTCAACAGATCACTGGACTCTTTTTTAAACATTTATCAATGACAACCATTGGTAAAGTGAAAAAGCCTTTGACACATTTGGGAAACCCATGAAAAAATTCTTTATAACCATTTCTTCAAATTGTTCAAGAAAATAACAATTTATCATATTAAAGATAAATATACTAATGCTTCAAAGATATGAACATAAATATCGAAGACTTCTAATGGGACACATTGGGGAGGTCATACTAAACCCTAACTAGTTATATTAGTAAAATCATTCTAATGAACTACCTCGTATTTGTGCTCAGAGTTGTTTAGAAATATTTCTGGCTGGACCCTTGTATTACATTTGACCTAGGCAGCTGTCTAAAGTAACATGGTACCTATTACCATTGTTCTTATTTTAACATATTGGTATGGAGGGTTCCTCTCCTGGAGCAGATTTAACAATGCAAAAAGAATTAAAATATGACCACTAGTTTTTCATTTTCCTACAATTGATACTAAACTTGTATGTATTTTAAATTAGGGAATTTAAAGACTCAAAGACTCTACACCATCCTAAGTAAAGCTATTCCTACTCATTATCGTAGGCAAGGAGAGGTGTGGAAATGCAATAAATAAGCAACACACAAACAAGCATACACATTCCCCCCTCACTTCCCACATTAGCTGTAAGTTCCATCAAATCTTTTTCAATTTTTAATAAGCAGCAGAAAAATGAATGATTCTAATGTCCTTTTCTATATTTTCCTTTGTTGGCAGTGAAGAAAGTAAAAGGTGGCACTGGATTAACTATTAATATATGGCTCTGAAGAATTTATGAAGAAATTACTAAATTTCTTTCAAATGACCATTTTAATAATGCCTAGGCTCCTACCAATGTTTTAGTTAAGATACTGACGTATAAGGTATACATGACTTACTACTTGAAAACAGAAACGGCCAGAAGAGGGTAAACTTCTTCCTCATAACAAATTTTAATTAAAAACAAACAAAAATTTGAAATGACTTCATTTTTAAATCTCTTTAAACTTTAACTTAGTGCTCTGTAGCACAGTCAAATCATGAGTAATAAGGCCCTGGGTCAGAAATTATAAACTATTTCAAGAATTTAGAGTTTATCATCTAAATAAGGAAATCTAAAAATCTTGACTAACTAGCAATTCTAATTGGTCATTTAAAAACTGAGGGAAAAGATCCACCTTAAATTTAACAGTAAGCAATTTCCAAGGTACAGACTAATTTTAAGTCATTCCTACTTTATAATCGTAACAAGAAAAGCGGTATTTCATTAAAGTGTTAAAATAAGTATACCAATAATATGTCAATGTTACCCCCAACTCTCAATTATCAAACGACTCCCTCTCTTCATGAATAGACTCTCGCTCATCTTGTGGCTTCTTTGCCCAACTCTACATCTCCCTACCTCATGTCCACTCACTGCAGACTGCATTAGGTTCCTACAAGCATGTGGCTTTGAACAGCCTCTTCTGTCTTGAACGTCTTCCCTACTTCCTCTGTCTTTAGGATTCAGTTCAAATGATGCCTCCTTTGTTAAGTTGTCTCAACTGTTGTAGTCATCAATCTCCCTGCAGTGTTCCCACAGGAGTTGTACATCCATTAGAACATTTATCAAAATATCACAAATATCATAATTTGTTAACATGTCCACCCCCACCCACTTCCCGCACCACTATATACATACACACAATACCTTCATTTGTATTTTCAGCATCTAGGTGTTTAATATTTGTAAAGTTATGAAAGTATTTTTGAGGGCATTTTTTTTCTCTTAAGCCCCATCTATTGATTTCTTTTTTTAAAATGTGAGAGTTGAAGGAAAACATTGTAATGTCTACACATTCAAAGCGTCATCTTACCCCTTATAACTCAACTTTGTTAAACACTCAAAATAACTGATTAGATCAAGAAGATTATTTCTAAGCTCTAAGGACGAAGAGCACTAACACTGCAGAAACCTAAGATGGTTAAAAACCTAACATATTTGGAATTTGCTTTAAAGGAGAAAAGAGCAAAAAAATATGAACTGCCCTTGAAAAGAATGATTGTATGCTTATCAAACACTCAGCTTCATTTTGGCATTTAATTAAGCCATTTATTGCTTCAAATGTGTCACCATGAACATTTTAATATACACTCCACAGCAGTAAGGCCTCAATTTTCACCACCTATAAACTGTGAACCCACATTTGGATTTTTTGTGCCACCAACTATTACACGAGTTTTGTACAACAAAGATTTTAAATGTGTATTGTACAATACCAAAAATACTTATTATACCCCTTGGTGTTAATGTCACAAAGGATACTAATAGTTGGCCATATTTTTTTTGATGAGGTAGTTCCATGTTTGGGCCATTATATGTATCTCAGATACAATAGGTTCTACCCATTTCTAAATACTTGCACAAAATTTTGGTTTACTTCTTTATATATGCTTCATAAAATATTCAGTGTTTGAATTTAAAATTTGTCCAAGTGATTTCTGAGTTATTTGGTAGCAAGTGGAATTCACACAATGAAAGAAGCTGTAGCAGTAGCAGCTGGAAAATAGGGATGTTCCTGACTCAGACAAGGAACTTTATCTTAAAATAAGGCTATATGTAAGGCTTTTTCCTTTGACCAATTCTTATAAAATTAATGATCTTGGAGAAGTCATAATATATAATTAGAGGATATAAATGATATACTTGAGCATCTCCAGGTAACATACTAATAGCTATAATTGAATGCTATGCTATACATTACTTCTTAAAATGTTTGTAAAATCTCCATGAAAATATTGAGTATCACGAAGTCATGATACTCATGATATTATGAAATTATGAGTGCCCACAAATGACCTTAACGTGTTTTAGTCAGCTGTCACAGTTATAAACTCAGATTGCAGCAGCTCAGAATCATGGAATCTCTAAACTGGAATAGACCTTTGAAATCCCCTATCTACACCATACCTTTTGGGTAGCATTGCATAGATTTTACACTGTTTTCTGAATAAGTTGTAAGAGGCTCATACGTGGTTTTAATTAAAGCAGAAATCTGATAAACTCAATAAACCTTAATATAAAAGAAATATGATGTAATAAGTTTTAAGGATTTTTCTATTGTCCAGACTTGATATTATACTTTAAATAAAAAGTATTTTTATATGCAAAATTTATCATTTAAACAGCGCCTATAGAATAAAACCTTAGGAGTGCTGTAAAGACATCCTGTAGCCAGCATCAACCTGGTTAAGGCCCAGAGTGACACAAAATTTGAATTGTCATACCAACATGTGGTAGAATCAAAAATAGAGCAAAATTTTGAGCTTAAATCCAGGGGAGGTCTCTTTACTCAAGTTGGCCACATTGTCTCCAGTCAAAACATCTATAACCATTATTTTCTTTTTATCTGCTGTAAATAGACTTCTTTCACGTATGTTAGACTGAAGGAAAAGCCAGAAACATGTTCTAGGAAAATACATTGGGATTTTAAATTTACATTAAAAATGTCTTTCTCTTACTTTCATATCACAAATTCCAAACATTATTAAAGAAATCACAGATTACACAGCATTCTGTGCCCTGGGCCTTTGTCCTTTTTAGGTTATGAAAACTGGAAGTTCATTGAAATTAAGAAATTGTCATTATTAATTATGTAAAGTATAAATACAAGTAATTTTTTAAAAACTTTATTTTAACACCTAATACAATTCCAATTTTAAGGATTACTTGCACAAAAAAATAAACACATTTGGTATAAAAATGTATCACTTTAACACCCTTTCCCCAGCAGCCCCCCCACCCCCACCCTCATGAACTGCACTCTATCTGGATGCAGAAACATATAAAGACTAATGGCACAAATTAGTTTTTACCTACAGGAGTTTCTGTTTATGTACCCAGGTACTCTAGAGGACACCAGCCCACTTTATCACATGAACCATTTCCTTCAGCCTGCTGAATTAGTTTCACAAAGAAACAAAGCTTATTATAAAGGCATTTTAAAAACCATTATCTTAAATTCTTTTTAGAAGCACTGACTTTTTTTTGCAACCATTTATATACAGTATTACATAACAGCTCTGGAGTACAGTACATGCAGCAGAATATACCTGTTGAATATAAAATACTTTCCTTAAAATCTTCATCGTTGGAATTCTTTGAAGTCTAAATTATAGAATGCCCATTACTTCGAGAAAATGGTTGAGGAGTACAAATGTCTGCATATGTTGGCCGCTGAAATAATCCAAGGCTAACTGGAATAATATTCATAGCACACCAGGAGTGCATAAATAATTTACTTACATTATTAAAATACAACCCATAAAATTCAAGTTCAAGATCTTACAGGATTGTCTGTGTAAATCCTTTAAGTGGTTGCCTGGAAATGCGTTGTTTCTTCTTTCTCTTTTCTTCTTTCTAAAGTCCTATATAAAATGTTTAGCTTAAGTATTTCTTTCTCAAACAAAAGGGCCACCTTTATTTGTGCCTGCTGCCTCTTCTCTTCATTGCAGCAGTGCACTGCGGACAGTACCATTTGCCTTTTGGTGCTTCTGTCAATCCAACACAGCCATAATGGAACCATTCTATAGGGCACTAGAAAGCAAAAGTGCAAAGAATGCCTGAGGTGATGGATACTCCAATTACCCTGATTTAATTAATTCACATTGTAGCCTGCATCCAAATATCACTGTACCCTAAAAGATATACAACTATTATATACCCATAATAATTTAAAATAAAAATTTTTTAAAAAGTACAAAGAAAAAGTTCTTAGTACTTCAGAGTATATTAAAATATGACCAAAAGAATAAATATTCTATCTAATTTAATAATAATTACATTTGTGAAATCATAATCTTCAGATACAGTAGACAACTTAGAGATCATGTAATCTAAATGATAAGCTTCATGGATAAGAAAATGGAGGCACAGCAATATCATGCATCTTTGAGAACCCTCAGGTCTATATAATCTACTCCTATAGTACTAAATAATGAACCAAAATTAGACAAAAGGAAGTGAGATGAGTCTTTTATGTAGAAGGTAAATGTATTTTAAACATTCTATTTAATATTCAGTCTTATTTGCTCCCTCATAAAGTAGAATAAGATAGCCATAATTAAAAACATAAAGGAGTACCCTAGGTTTCCTGCCTGGGTGTATCTATTCCTAGAGATGTAGAAAAAAAGTATTTTTCTGTAAAACCTATTAAGCAGTTCTACACTTCCAAAGAAAGCCTTGGCACTCAGAAAAGCACAACTGGGAATGAAAGGAATCAGAGAGTACGATGCTGGTATTCACAGAAATCTCATTCATCATTTTTCAGTAACTGCCTCAGAAGACACTTTATAGTGATGTTCTTGAAATGATTGGGCAATATTGTTTTGCAATAATCACAAACAGCCCCCAAGGTGATCCTAGATAGGGAATTAGAAGGAAGGTCTCTCCCTATCTATGTGAACATGTTGTTGTAACTCCATCAAGTCAGGGAAAAGTACACATTTTAATGTACTAAGCCAACCAACCTCTATCTTTGGATTGTTTTTACAAAATTAAAACTCTTGCTAATCTTAGGATTCTGACATTGCTGCTTAGTACTTTTATAAAATTCAGAGTTCTGTTATCCCTCTGGAGTAAAAGAGGGACAAAAGGGGGCTGAGCTGTATAAGACTAAGGAGGGAGTCAAAATTACTAAACAAAAATATTCTTAGCATTTAATAAAAAATAAATCTCTAACCAAAATTAAGCTTCCTAAAAAAAAAATGCCTTTTTTTTAAATGTCCTTTATTTTTGTATCAGAGATGGCTCTTATCAGCAGATACCTGCAAAGTACAGTAGGATATATTATACTAGGAAGGAAAATAATCTCACATTAGATCCTCAATTTTCCACCATTTACCTTAGCATTTATGCTTCCAAAAAGAATGAATTGTTTTATAATTCCATTTATTCCATGTGATAACTGAACCAGATTCTAGTAAACACAATATTCTTTAGCAATGGGGAAGGAGGATGTTCATAATGTCATACAACATAACACTTTTGAGAAATATAATCTGCACATAAAACTATAAAATTAGCTTCAAAAATTAAAATAAGGAACACAATAAAGGCTATTACCCTACTCTGGAGAGGAATATTATACTATTATTATAATTAACATAACTGCAAACATGTTTTCTTAGACTGAGACATACAATAAAGAAGAAAAATATTCAAGTGATAAAAATCTGTGATTTTTTTCATTGCTAAATAGAAAAATTTAATACTTACATCTTGGTTATCACATCCCACCATCTCACCATAAGATACCTAGTTAAGAGAAAGTTAAATATTTTTATTATGACTACATAACAAACATCTGAATTCAAATTGTTTATGATACTGTTAGAAAATAGTGGAAAATATTATTACAGTTGAGAATCAAGGCATAATTTTTTTCTAAAAGACTTTTTTCTTGGAGCAGGAGGAGATGCACAGAAATTATCTGCTCTTTGAAAGTCTGAAAGAGCTTGCTATAAAAACCACCTGGACACGGCACTCACCTTTGTGGGTGGTTCTTACTATAAGGTTTTAAAGTTTCTTTCTTGGTTATTTACCAACTGAAGGTTTTTACTTCTTCTTGAGTCACATTAGGTCCCACATATTTTTGCAGTTAATCATTCATTTCCTTGAAACTTCTAAACTCATCTATTGTATGTCCTTTCTCATTTTTCTTTTGCTGTTATCACCAACACTTTAGAGCATATCTCCTAATTCTTGTAATCACTTAAGTTCTCAGAGGATGGAATAATTTTTCAGACAGGGTTATTATACTTTCTGATTTTCTGCATGAGTGTAAATATCTTTACATGGTCCTGTGCACAGAAACAACTTCTGTGGGTATCAAGTTGTAGGGGGTTCTCCATTTTTCCCTTCAAATATCAATAGACATATTCCATCACCTTCTAGGTTTTGGTGTTACAGAAGAAAAATGTACAGTCAATAAGATTTTATTCTTTTGTAGGTAAAATACTTTTATTGCCAGGATATTTATGGGAAATGCTTTTCTTAATCATATGTACTAAAAAATGTTTATTAGGTGATAGAACAGCTAACAAACTTAAATTTTAAAAATCTGATTGGCAACTCACACCATAAAATATAATAAATCGCAGCTAGATTAAGATTTAAATGTGAAGTAACTGAAGTATATCAAGAAGTAGACAAAACCATATAAAAATTAGAAGAAAATACAAGATAAATTTATCAGCAGAGAAGATCAAAAGAAGAGGAAGGCTTTCTAAACATATAATCCATGGCTGACTTCATAAAGAAAAAAATTATGAGTCATAACTACACAAAACTGAAATTTTAGAATTATTAAAAAAATAAACCAAGTATAAGATAAGTTTTTAAAGTATAAGATACATAAAAAACAACAGAAAAATCAGCTAACACCATTAGGCATCATTTCACAAAAGAAGAAATAAAAATGTTCAAAAAAGGTCCAGTCTTAATACTATATACTATAGTATTTAACACTATATAAATTAAAACAATCATGTGATATAAAACTATCCAATTGGTACATAGTTTTGAAGAGAAAATAATATCCAGTGCTGACAGGGTTGAGAAAACAGGGATGGTCATAAATTTTTGGTAATAAATTTCTAGAAGATATTTTAGTAGTCTGTCTCAAATATTTATAATCTAACTTTATTTCTAAAAGATCACCCTAGAAATTAGATGTATAAAATGGATCACATAAAAAATGCCTATCATAATATCATTTGTGATTTCAAACAATTAATACCACTAAAATAATTTATAGCTAGACAGTGGTTAAACAAAATATAGTATACAGTATAAGAGATAACTATAAGAAGATTTAAAACATGACCTTAAAGAAAAATCATGTTTAGTATACCTGATTTAGCAAAATAACCCAGTTACAAAAAATATATATACCATGGTTCCTATTGTCAAACTTATACACACAGGTGTCTGTGTGTGTCTATCTGCATACATATATGTTATGGAATGAATGCTTGTGTCCCCCCCCCAAGTTCATATGTAGAAGCCATGAACCCTAATGTGATTGTATTTGGAGATAGGTCCTATGAGATGGTACAGGTTACATGAGTTCATAGGGTAGGCCCCTAATCCAATGGGGCTGGAGCCCTTATAAGAAAAGACACTACAGCATGTCTGTTCTCGTTCTGCCATCAGAAAGCAGCAGTCTGAAAGCTAGCCCTCACCAGGAACCAAATCGGTGGGCACCTTATCTTGGACTTCCCAGCCTCCAGAAATGAGAGAAAATAAATTGATGTTTTTTAAGCCACCCAGTCTGTGGTATTTTATTAAGGTACCCAATAACTATGTGGAGTACATAGTAGCAATACATCAACATCTTTACTTATAGGCTATTATCTGAGGGCTGAGATTAGAGGTAACTTATATTTTACCCATAATCTTACCCATTAAAAAATATATGTAAGTAAAGTAAGCATATTTTAAGTGAGTAAAAAAAAATATTTTAATGATATAGTTCTTTTTTCAAGTTTATTCAGATTATGATTTATAGACACATAACAGACTTTTACCTGATTACAAATGCAATATCGAGGCTCATTTGGGTCATAAGTCCAATCAACCTGACTGTTTGAATCAGATTCTGGCACTACTGTTGTTTGTTGAGATATTTCTTGTACAACAGTTGATGATGAAGAACACGATGATAAGGAAGAAGAGGAGGAGGAAGATGATGACTGCTGGCTTGAAGACTTGTTGTTATTTCTGAAAAATTAATATCAGTTTTATTTGTTTACCATTCATAAGAAGGTACCTGAAAATAACTCCTAAATAAGTGGTATGAAATGAAATCACATCAAATGTATAAATTAATGTCTAACACTAAGTTAAAGTAATCTGATTTAAAACACTTGTTTAGAGCACCAAAGAGCAACATTTTTTATAGCAGTTTATTTTGGGATTTTTTTGTTTTGTTTTCTGTAGAATAAAGGTATTAAAAAAATTATTTTAAAAATATTTCAAAGTTTTTAAAACAATATTTTAATCAAAGTTTTCACTTACCACTGACTTACACTGTTGGTAATACTTTTAAGAATTACTATTACTTATGGCTATCTTACAGACACTATTTGCATTTTTAAGTAAACTGAATACTTTTCATCAAAATCTAAAACACAGGCCAGGCACAGTGGCTCACGCCTATAATCCTAGCACTCTGGGAGGCCAAGGCGGAAAAACTGTCTGAGGCCAGGAGTTCAAGACCAGCCTGAGCAACATATCAAGACCCTGTCTCTATAAAAATACCAACCAAACAAACAAAAAATCTAAAATACAAACATAAAAAAGCATTTGATGAAAATGATTATGACCATCAACTGACATGTGAATACCTATCATATGTAGGACAGAGAACCAAAACTGTTGAAATTCACAAGTAACTTACCTGTAGCTATGTGCTAATTAAATTTTTAAAATACAGAAATTTATCATAAGCAGTTACTATGTATGATACTTCTGTGGTTATTCGACACTAAACATTGTTTTAGAAATCTATTGACAGAAAATACATTTAAAAATAAATATACATATTAGGTAACTTTGGCCTCGCATTTGAACTTTCATTATGTATAAATACCCAGCATATTCAGTTATCCGGGATAAACAGTGTCAAATGCTGTTACATTTTCTATTTAAAGCTCAGATAATCATCCCAAGTGTTTTATATATAAAACCTAGGGAAATCTTCATACCATCAATTTTTGGGACCTAAAACCACAGAATTAATACATTTTGCCATTGATCTAAATGAAGAATCTTATTTTAAAAAAAATCCCTAGTATATAATTTGAGTTTTATGCATTAATTCACCTTGAAACATAACAAAATAAGAGGCAATAAATGCAAAACACTGCCATAAAATGGTTTATCCTAATGAACAAAGAAAAGTGAACAGAAGTCATGTATTAACAAACCCAACTTAAGGATTCGGAAAAATTAAAAAGAACTCTAACACTTTTTAAAGACTTTACCCTTTCAAAGTATGGCAGTGTAAAGGAAAACTTCATGTCTTCCCACCTCTCCAAAGTTCATCTTGACCCATTATGCATCTTGTTTAACAAATGGAGGCCTCACTGAGTTGCCAAGTAGATGACTGACTGCTCCGTAAAGGTATGGGGGTACTGTACCTAGAAAACTTACTTGCTCTTTCGACCACTCCGTGAGTCAGCTGCTGAGGAACTGGCATTCTGTTGTGTTAATGTTGTCATAAGTGCTGAAGAGGATGAATAGCCAGCTGTTTCCCTAGGCATCGAGAATTCTTTTCCCAGCTGAAAGTCATTATTCTTAAATGCTTCATAACTGGCTTTTAAACTTGATGTTCTTCGTCCCTCTTTCATCTTAAATAGACATTCATTGATGGCATTAATATATGTAAATATGTTATTTTTTCAAGTTTTACAAGTTACAGTTTTATTTTGGTTTATCCAATATTAATTTATGTGGTTTAAACTATTATTTTTATCACTGGAATTTAAGCTATATTATGTAAAGATTTAAAATCAGTTTTTAGACAGTTAGGAAGTAACTGCAGGATGGGTAACTTAATTTGGAATACAGACTAACTGCACTGAAGTGACCAAATTTGAGGTGGCCTAAGTCCCAAGGCTATAGTAAGTCCTGTAACTGGTAGAAAGAACAAAGAATTATAAAGAACATAGGCAACATAAGCAATTATTATTAGAAGGGTCTGCATCTTGCATAATAAATCTATTTTTTACTTTCATTATCAATCAGGTAATTCTTACATATTATTTTATTAAATAAAATGTCAAATATCATAAAACTATGATCTAAAAATGAAACTACACAATGTTAGAAAGCTCTATTTGTTCACATCCAGTTGTTTCTATTATGGCTTCAATGATTCAGACAAAGTACAAGATTTTATCTCTAAACCTTTTACTTGTTACCTGAGCTGTGGCCTGAACTGCTTGAGCTGCTGCCATGGTAATTGCCCCTGCACCAGTTCCTGAAGATAACGAGCCAATGTTGTAGGATGCCAGAGGCTGGGAGGAATTCACATTGTAAGCATTGTTAGAAGAGGCTGTGGAATTATTATTTCGACAACCTGTGTAGACATAAAGAAGAAATAAAAGTGGTTGCAGAGAACATAATGTTAGTGAGTTTAAAATACATTTTTTCCCAGCACATATAATCATTAAATTTAAATTATTCATATCACTGTAGATTAAGTCAACTGAATAATGCATCACAGTTTTCCTTTTTCTTCTTTCTCCACATGTAGACTTTAACCAGGTAAAGAAAGTATATGATTCCTTAATCCTGATTGCTTTCACTTTCTCTTATTCTAAGACAAACAAAGCAAACAATCATATTTAAGAAAATAAACTTACCTAGTGTATTTTCCTTAGAGGCATCTGATGTAAGGGTAGACAGAAGAGCTTCAGATTTAAACTTCTTTTCAGGAATATGATCTGTTGTCGTATGGTGAGAAGTTGGATTATATTTCCTTTCTAAATATAAATAAAGAATTTATGTGTTTTTGAACTTTACAGAACTATGAACAAGTATGAACTACTTCCATTCTGTTATAAACTGGTATAGTTATATCTGGGTTCCTCATAAAATACAGAATATGTTTTCTCAGAAGACAGGACAAGCAGAAATCTCTGTGTCACATGTATATTAAGAATAAACTTCTCAGACATTTAAAAAACTTCACTAGTAAAATACTAAAGATAACTCATACTGCACCATGGTTTCACATACAACATGAAAGGAATTTTGTTTTCAAAACACTATCTACCATTTAGCATAGTTTTCAGTCAACCTTCCTTTCCTATCAAATTGATTTGTCAAAAAATTCACTGATACAGTCAGTGACCTAGCCAGCAAGACATCTAATAATTCATTTACTCAATAACTTAGCAACCATTGGAGATTTTATAATATGCCAAACATTAGGCTAAGCATTGGAGAAGCAAAATAATTTACTGTTTGGCTCAGTTGTAACACCCATTAGAGAGACTAAGGTATCTGCAAGTAGGCAGTATATACTGCTATTAGTAGAATACATTCTCTATTAATTTCATAGAAAACAGACTATCTGTTCTCAAATCAAATATGTTTTTCCCCAAAGAAAAACTAATTTTCCTAAATTACTGCCAATAATTGCAATGAAAAATTATATCTCACAAAAAAATGGAAGGGAAGCCCATTTATTTCTCAATTGGTTATGTAGAGTTAATAAAAGAGAATGAATATACAGGTTATATAATGAGTTTCTAACCGTATTCAAAACTTAGCTGTACTAAAACCAAACTTACTTTCCACTGGAGTATGTGAATGAGCGTGGTGATTGTTTACTGGCTGTGAAGGAGTATCTAATTCCAAAGATCCTAAAAAAAAAAGAGAGGCACAGAGATACACCACCATTAAATGTCACCATCGATCTTTACATGTCAATGAACTATAGGCAATGAATTCTCTTACCCAGCAGAGGACTGGCAAGCTCTGATGCATATGCCTGTATAACTTTAGCCAGACATGTTAGAGGGTCAACACTGCCCCTTCCACACTGAGCTATCCTCTCTCTAAACAGTAAGTAATCCATTTCTCAATATTCACCTTAAGCACAAAATGGCTCAAGGCATGCTAATATCTAATTAGGGAATCCACTATAGAGGGTGCCACCTAAATGAACGAATGGATATTATAACCTCATTACTAATAAGACTCAACCTAGTTTTACTGAGTTGAAGACCTTTTAATGGGCGATTCTAAAGTTCTAGGCAATGGGGACATTCCTATGTGAAAGAAAATTCTTCAACCATTAAAACGACATATGATAGTAAAAACTTCCTAAAAGAAGTTAGGGATTTTGCTTGCAAAAAGAAAGAAATAGAGTCTCTAACACCAAGCTTTAAAATACCTTTTGAGAAATTTTCTGGGTTTATTTTTGATCCCTTGAGATGAAATTGTGGCAGGGCACAGGGTAGTTTTTGTAACTTAATCCAATTTAGTTTCATATGTCTGTGTCCTTAGAGAGGATGCTTTATTAACCTTCCTGCAGTACTGAATAGGCATGAATTATCATTACTCACAGCTACCATCAGCATTAAAAAAAAAACAACAAAAAAAACTAAAGCAGCTACAAATTATTTTATTTTGTCCCAAAATACTTATTCTCCTCAGATAGGGTTCCTATAGAAAAAAGTATCACGAATAAATCAGATGATCATCTAAAGTGATGGATATACTTTTGACTACACAAATACAACTATGGATACTAAGATGGATTTGTGACTGGCTTCTCTAGCTGACTTCCAGTGAGTATATAAACAGAGATATACACAGACTAGCACTGCAAAGAAACCTTTCATCTGTGCGTAGAAACAGGTACATAATCTTGCTGTTGAAATGCACCAAAGAAAAATTATGTTTGAAAGCTTTAATTAAATTCTAGTAGAAATTAACCATAATACTAATTTGGTTCAATTAACATTTAGTGAATGCCTACTCTGGGCCTAGTACCACAGTATCTGCTTTTATTTACACTACCTATTTATAGGTTGGAAGAGATGCTAAATTAAAGAAAGCTCATGCTTCCATTTTTGGGAAGTCTCCTGAGTGACAGGGGTAAGTTATAGCAGGAGATCAAAGAAGTGATGGGGTAAATTATAGCAGGAGATCAAGTTGAGCCTTGCAAAGAAATATTAAAATGGCTTCTTGCTTATAAGGGAAAGTTTAGGAAAGACATCTTTAAGAAAATGAGAAAGTGTTGTGGAACCAATTAGAATCTTTCTCAGTATAAACAGCTGAGGAAAAAGTCTACAATAGTTCTTAAGAAGAAAAACTAACAACCTCTCTCAAAGTTAGAGTGCATAAATTGGCAGGGGAATGTCAATACATTTAATGAAAGATGGTTAATTTGTTTCTTGATGGTTACATTTCTGCTAATCTTGGTTCTTACCACTCATGTTACTAGCCATATATGGATATTTCAAAATGGAATAATATGTTATTTTCATCAAGAATGAGTGGATGATATCCTATGTTATTCTTCTCAGTATCCACAACCCAAACAGTTTCAACTGCTAGGGTGCAAGCTATCTGACCCAGATGTCACCATCCACCGACGGGCAGGATCTGAAAATCCTCTCTAGGACAAGCATCACCTCAGTGATTTGCACATGTACTATCCAATATTGATGGAAAACTGTAAATTTTACTTACGCCTCTCTAATATTTCTGTAATTCCAGCATTATCAGCTTCCAGCTCCATTTTAAACTTAGCCAGTTCCTGATCCAGCTTTCTCAAGTGTCGATCTACCTGTTTCAAAGAAGATCAAAGATAACCACCAAAATTTGGGACACTGTTAAAGTGTCAGTTTAATGAGGAAACCTAAATCTTTGTTTCTTTTAGGGAATCTGACTTTTTTTGAGCAAGTCAATTAACCTATGCCTGAGAGGTTTTCAATCTATAAAATGAGGGTGATAGGCTAAATAATCTCTGAAGTCTCCTCTAATAAATTCTAAGTTTTAAGAAACCCAGACTCTCAATTTGTAAGGAAATGTTCTATACTCCTTTGTCAGAAGTGGGAATATGAAAATTAAAGCAAAACTGAGATTAGGGATTAGAAGGTAGGAAGAGAGGCTGGAGGTTGGTAACTTTTCATCATATGCCTTGTGATTACTTTCAGCCTAATCTCCTCCTACTTGTGAGCCTATCCAGGCTGTATTATAATAACTGTTATTTGAAATGTTGAAAGATTCTCAGTCTACAAAGAGGCTACCATATTCTACATATACATTTCTCTAAGGTAGGAAAGTGGACCATTATGTTTGTAAACATTTATGTAAAGAATTGAAACAAAAGGGATTTTTAGCCAGAAACCTCCATTCCTCAAAGGGCCTGTTTAAAATTATTTTATTTATAATACTACTGCTCTATAGTTAAGGTGGCAAAATTTTATTTTCTTATTTACCTAGAGATCTTTTGACTAATTTCAGAAAATTATATGATACCTCAAACTAACAACGTCTTAATGTATTTTTAAGCTTAATATTAAATATTTTTTCAATACTTTTTCAAACTTACTACTTTGAAGTGAAACAAAAATAACACAAAATCGATGAAAAATATTCATGGCACATTGTTGACAACATCCTTTTTCCCAGTCTAATTTCCCACTGGATTATTGTTATAATTAGAATAACTTTCTTACACATATCAAAACGTGCTATGATACAGCACAAGGACAAAAATTTAAGTAAGACTTTCAATTAAACGGCATATATCTACCATGAGGAAGAAGGAGAGAAAAGTAGCATAAGACAGTGTACATGTGTTAGATGCCTATGAAGAGGCCAGGTAATATGCTTGGTGCATAGATATCCTATCTTTTCTAGCCCTCACTCTGATATTTTGAGATAGGTTTTTACTGTCTCCATTTTATAAGTGAAGAAACTAAGGCTCAGAAGGGTTAAGTATAATAACATGCCCAAAGTCAGATAGCTAATGTATTACAGAAACCAGATTTAACTTTGATCTATGTGTAACAAATTACGCTTTCGCATTTATGCCTAACATTGACCTCTCAGACTTCTACACGTAGGAACCAACTGTTTTTCTTTTTAATTCAAAATAATATAATTCTATTTGGAAAACTAATAATATTATCTTATTATTTATATTTTATATATTAACAGAAAACACTGGGTTGTGGGTTTGTAATTTTTTAATAGTTTAAATAAAGCCTAGTTTTTCCTCCATCTTCACACACACGTTACTTTTCAGAGCTTGGCAAAAGTTAAAATTAGAATATTTAAAACCTTCTAGGGTCACGTATTATGAATACTTGCTCCTATTCAAAGAAGCTGCAGGTATTTAAGCATCCTTTAATGGAACCTCCCTTCTAATAATAAAGTGTGAACACAGACCTCCATTATTCAAGAGTATCTCTTTCATTGTCAAAATTTAATCTCAAGGGAAATCAGAAAAATTACCAATATTTAAGTTCCAAGACCACTTAATGCAATGAAAACACTCTACCACTTTTCTTACCTATAATTATACTAGTAATAAATATTGTGCTCCTATTATGTGCTTAGCACTGGATTAAATGGTGAATACATGAAGAATGGGAAGGATCCCTCCCTTCACAAGAATTAGAATTTAGCTGGCAAATGAAGATTTACATAAGATTTTTAACACAATACATGTTAAAATATATAGTCTAAATGAAAAAAATAAACAACAGTTCAAAAAGCAGCAGCAAATAAAGAAATATAACATTTGTAGACATGGAGGAGGAATGAATGAGTTACATAGTGAGGAATGGATTGTATTCAAATAGATGGAAAGAAAGAATACTAATCAAAAAACGTATAGAGACAGAAAGACAAACAGTATGCTTAAAGAAAAAGAAAGTATGATGTAGCCTGTAATAGGTATATATAGGTATACAGAGAGTAAAGAGAAAGTGTAAGAACCTCGATTGGGAGAGTGGTTGGTATTGAGGTGAGATAAAGACATTTTTTTCTACACCACAGTACCCTAACTCACTCCACCTCTGCATGTAAGAATTGCTTCAATTTATTAAATATATTACTGATAAAGTTTATTACACATGAAAGTGTGAAAAATGATGATGAAATTTTCAACACTAGATAACTCAAAAAGGGCAACAGTATCCAAAGAATTAATAACTCTACAAACCAAATTCATAATTAAAATAAAGACCAAAAAGCCTTAACTACCTTGTGGTAGGCAGCTTTGTAAGATGCCTTCTAATCATTCTCACTTTCTGATATGTAAAAAAGATTATGAACTAATTAATATTATAAGCAATTAGACAAGGAAAATTATTTTTCTTAGATTTACCACTAATGTACTAAATCAAATTGGAAGTAAGAAAGTAAGCTGACCACAGATATAACTTAAGCTATAAAGCACCAGGATACTTAAACAGCATTAAACAGTCATAATAAGAGCTGAACTGAATTTGAAATCTATTATGTGCATTCCCTCTACCAACATCTTGGTGCATGGTAACAGCACTTATTCTAGTTGATCACCATAATGGCCCCACAGGTATCAGGCAAAGCAAGGACTTAAGTTACCCCACCCCTCCACACACACCTGGCCCCCACAAGACTGATTTACAGCAGTAAAGAGGTATTGATCCAATTGAGAAAGATTTTCCTTTAGCCACAGATTGCTAACACAAGGCTGACCAAAGAGTCTATTTATTTGTTCCCCATTTAATGTCAGTAAATGCTATCCACAAGCTTCCTTGTCCTATAACCCCCAAATCATAACTGGTTTAAACTATTATCCTTTTCTGACCTCTTTTAAAGACAAGGGAAATTCTATCAACATTATCTGTTAACATATTCATAATCATAAAACAAACAACAAAACAAAAACAAAAAATCCTTTAACATTTTTACATAGGTTGTAATACTTTCTTTCTCTTTTGATTTTCCGAGATTTCCAATACTCAGATTTTAAAATGTGTCACAGATGGACCCAAACAAAATTAGATACAGCTTTTAAAAAGTTTCTACATGATCTATGGCTTCCAATATAGTCAAATTCTAAAATTTAGATGTCTAGTTTGCCCTTTCAAAATAGGCAGTCTATTAGGTTCTAAGCTGAATCCATGGCAATAAAAGAGAAATTTCTATCCATGAAAAGATCTGGTAATGGTGAACAAGGAGGGTAAGAAAAAGGTACCATGATGGCAAAGTACCCCGCTGATGATAAGTCATGAAAATGATTCTTTACATCTCTAAATTATATTTAAACTACATGAAAATTTGATCTATCTATCCTTTAGGCTGAAACAAATACTTGAGGTCTTATCACATAAACTTTACCTAATCGTCTTTCTAAAAGACAATAAGGACAGGACAGAAATCAAAAGGTCAAACTCACATAATATATTTCCTTAATTAGAGTATCAGATGAAGAATGCTTAAATTTATAGGTAAAATGTAGGTCTGAAATATAATCATCTCAGGAACAGACCAGGATATAAAAAAAAGAAGCAAGTTCAAGGGTATTGAGGACTGCAAGAGACTGCTAAAATCATTCAAGCATCAACTAAAAGCTCAAATTTTATCAGTGTATATATAAATCAACTTTATTAGGTATTGCAATCTAATACATCCTTATGACAGTGATATCCGGCTAAGGAACACAAATAAGTGTTTAGTGACTATAAGTATCAGGATTCTGGAAGGAAAATATTTTAAAAGAATAGATTTTTTGTTAGTTAAATTTCATTGAACGACAACTGAAATAAATTGTCATTTTGTTGTACTGGACCCCTATTTCCACAGATTTCTTCCTTTGTTGCTATTATTCACTATGGTTTCTTTCCTTAATAAATGAGGTAACTAGTGCGGCGCTGGTCATAGGAATAAAATGTTTACTACTTGTTTTTAAAATAAAAGATTTCAATGAAAAAATACAATGAAATGTCATCTATATAAAAAATACTGAGGTATGAAGTCAAACACAATTACATATTATATTGCTGTGTCTTAAAATCTGTAAAAATACAGGCTTACTTGAAGTTACCATAATAATATAATGTTTAAGCAAAGGCCCACATAAAATCTCCTCTAAGGTATATTTCACTCCTTTTTTAAAAATCCTTCACTGGTCTCCCATTGCTTTTAGAATAAGAATCACACACACACACACACACACTCCTCCTCGATTGGCTCACAGGGCCCCCATGTGTTAGCTCCTGCCTGCTTCATCTCATACTACTTTTGTTTCTCTACAGATCAACTACACAGGCCTCTTTCCTGGTCCAACATGTCAAGCTTTTCCACTTCAGGCTTTGCCCTTGCTACATCACCTGGCTGAAATGTTCTTCCTTAAGCTTTTCAAATAACTGGTTCTTTCTAATTTTTCAAGTACCACCTCAAATGTCATCTCCTATGATCATCCTGACTGCATTCATAACAGTTATTCATTCTCTTTCCCTTCCTCTCTCCTTACCACAATGTTTATTTCCTTCATGACACTTATCCAAACCTAAAATAATCTTTATTTAACAGTTTGCCTACACATTGCCTGCTTGTGTCATTACTGCCCACCTGGCACCAGTGACTGACTGCTCGTTGCTAAAGTTCTATAAACATCTGCTGAACAAATTGAAGGTTATACTCTCTCACTATATGAGACTGTAGAAATAGAATACCACTGTTTATTGGGTAAATGATCTAAGAACAGAAATTGCTGTAGTTTTATACTTATACTATGTCCCCTCCACTTACCTTTAAAGCAAACTAGGAACCTAAGTTCTCAAATGT